AAAAAAAAAAAAAAAAAAAAAAAAAACCCGTTGGAAAGTGGATGGAGTTTGCTCAGTTTGCCTGGCTGTCACGGGAGTTGAGCCGTGGATCCCGCTGTGGAGGTGGACAAGGTCAAGGCTGGCGTCCTGGGCGGTGAGGGGCGATTCTGCCAGGGGGAAAAAAGAGTAGTCCGACGCCCCAGTCCCATAGACCATTTCTGTTCTCCTTTGCGGGGGGAATATTGCCTGATCCTTCATTCCTCGGTGGGCTAAAAAAGCCATGTCCATGCTCCCGTCCCTTTCTCCGAGCTTACTGCCAATCTCCGTGCTACTTGCATATGCTAGCTTTCTCAGTCACTGCAAGCGCAGTAGTATGTGATATCGCCACCACTCCTCAATATCGACTATCCATCCAGAATGGTTGGGGTTCCTCGCAGCAAAGGCTGTTCGCTCTGTCGGAAGAGACGTATCAGGGTCCGTTATTGTTCCCCTTACCCCGTCCCCTTTTCTTTCTGAGTAGATATCCTACTTTCTCGTGGATTCTATCCTGAATCAATCGTTAACTTCGATGGGAGTGATTAGTGTGATCAAGGCCGACCGCATTGCTCGCAGTGTCGCAAATATGGCGCCGTGTGTCCCGGCTACAAGCGCTCTCTGAAGTTCCAGGATGAGGGACCTCGTCTGCAGGAACGGTACCTCATCACCTCCCCAGATACGGATGGGAGTGATGAGGGATCAAGTCCAGTGTCAGACTCGTTGCCGGTAAAAGCCCAGAGGCAAATGCGTTGCTTTGTGGGTCCCTCCCTCGACGAGCGGGTTTGTCCGTCCCTGGCATACAAATCGTTCTTGGGTCAGCAGCCACGCCTTTTCAAAGAATTTGTCTGCGCCTCGTTCCCGACCATGTATTATCATAATGAATTTCGGTTTGGACCCGGTTTTACCTTCCCGGACAACGTTGTCAAAAAGTTTGGTGCCAAACCTTACTACGATGCCACCGTGATGTCTCTGTCCATAGCCTGGCTTGCACATCAGACAAAGGACCCGAACTTAGAATATGCAAGTCGACAAAAGTACGCAGAAGCCTTGAGTGGTATCAAATATGCCCTGACATCGGAAGATACCGTGTCGGACGCCCTGTTGATGGCCGTCATACTGCTGGCCTTCTATGAGATGAACGTACGCACCACGGAAGATGCGTGGCTCTTCCATGCCAACGCAGTGAAGCAGCTGATGAAGAAGCGTGGCATGAGAGCCCATTTGAGTGGCCCGGGGCGTGTGTGTCACTTTGCCTTCAGGCCATTTCTGATTGGTGCTGCCCTCCAGAAGGGTGAATCATGTTTCTTAGATGAGGATTCATGGCAGGACTTGGCAGCATCTTTACGGAGCGAAGATTCTCGGAAGCAAAACGAATGGGCATTTTATATCGACGTCTATGAGACTATCTTCATGGAGCTTGTTAAGTGTCCTGGCTATATCAAGGAAGCCCGGGAAATCGTTTCTGTGACCTCACCAGAGGCCAAATCTCTGGCTCAACGTATTCGTACAACATGTGATCGACTGCGACGGCTAAGCAAAGAAATGCGAACCTTACTCAGTGCGCATAATCAGCGAAAACAGGGCATCACTCTCCGCTTCGTCGGACCGGAGCCCAAACTCTTCCCGGACACGAGCCCATCTCTTCTTCTCCGTGCTGGGGTCAATGCTGTTCGTATCCTCGAACAAATCTTAGATCGAATCACCATTCCCACACCGACCGTGGAACAGACTTTAATCATCCGTGATGGAGCGATAACACCCGTGTCAAGCCCAGACAGCTCAGGCGATGCGGACAGTCCACCACTTCTCTCCTTCGGTTTGTCCTGCGAACTCGGGAACGGTCCACAGGCCACGGTCGGTAATGATGCAGAACTCGCATTGACCTGGCTGGATCGGGTCGCCGGGGCAATGGGGCTATTAGGAGCGGAAATCACGTACGGAATGAAGCCGGGAATCCAAACAGATCTTGCTCTGCGAACTGTTCGCACATTAACCCCAGTGGATGACGACCTCCCGGAGCCTCGTAGGTCGTCGGACTGAGACAATCGAGACCAGAGATTGTATTCAATCAGTGCCCCAATTCCATCCTCAATCGATCCTAAATCACTACAGATGGAACGTGTGCATTTGTGAATAACTATAGTACTCGCTTCGTCAGCGTTGGACGACTGGTTTATCCGCGCTGTTCATCTACCAACCACCAATGTGCTTGCGTCAGATTATTGCACGCCGAATCGCCCCACGCTGCAGCTCATTCTGCGTCCTATAACGGCCGCGCGACATGCATCTATAAAGCGTTGACGGCCACCGACCCCTCCGTCCTATCTACCCCCTCGGAAACAACTATGCACCTGCAGGCTCGCATAGAAACACAATCGAGTTAAATCATCTCTCCTACTTGTAGAGCGGTCTCCTATTCTTCACTATTGGGTTCTGTCCTGGCAATCTGAGGTTTCTGAGTCCTCCATACTAGATCGACATGTTGGATATACCTCCCACCACATAATCATAATAAAACATTCGTTATTCGCTACGCTGAAACTACTGTCCATTCAGCTCTTGGATCTCATCGGGGCCCAGCAAACCCAGGGCCTGTCTTCGGGTCGGGGCGTTGGGATCGAAGAAAGGCTTCTCCGCGAGGGCCGTGACTCGAGTGCCATGCCTGGGCTCCGAGCCTTCGTAGTCCCAGCTGGCATTATGAATGGTAATTCTGTTTAGTGTTAGTTCCCGATCTAAGGGGGATGGGCAATTAAGGACTATCAACTAACCTGTTGTCCCACAAAGCACTAGTCCGAGGAGTCCACTTGAAGCGAACTTGAATGTCAATATTCTTCTCGTATACATCAAACAGATACCCTAGAATCACATCACTCTCCGCCTTATCTAGCCCGACAATCCGATCAGTCATGGCGCGGTTTACCCACAGCGCCTTCCAACCTGTCGCCGGATGGACACGGACAATCGGATGCTCTCGTTCAATATATTTCGGACCTGCTTCGGGGTTCTTGCGATCGAGATAAGGATGTGCAGATCGATAGATGGCTGTTCTCCCATCGATAATTTTACGGAACTCCGGGGACAGCTTCTCGTATGCAGCATACCCGCTGGCCCATAGAGTATCTCCGCCGATGGTCGGGACCTCGTCATTGTGAAGATGTGTCACTCCTGCCGGTTGGCGCTCATGAACTAGGTCAGTGTGCCAACGAGAGGCGCCGCCCGGCCGACGATAACCCGCTGCCCGCTCCGTCGCTTGGAGAGCAGGCCATAAGACCGACACGCCTGGTAGACCGGGCACCTGGGGTACTTGAGGCTACGGCGATACATTAGAAAAGGAGCTCGAGGATGCGACACAAAAGATGAAAACGAACATGGACCTCGACCTCTCCAAAGTATTCACCAAGAGCCTTCTGTTGCTGGGGAGAGAGATCCTGATCCCGGAAGAAGACGACGCTCCGTTCCGCAATCAGTAGACCCAGCTCATCCTTCTGTTGGTCAGTCAAGTTTTTAAGCTGTAGTCCCACGATTTCGGTTCCGATGTGCCTGGTTAGGTGGATCACTTCTTTGGCTGCAGACAACAATGCCTTCTTCTCGGGGTCGGCACGGGTGCCAGGATCTACATGGGGACGGTCATGGTTTCTGATGTTGTAAACATCGTCAGAGTACAGAGGGCGCGACGGCCGATATGGATAGCCATTGGAAAGATCAATTCCCGCTTTTACAAGCCGCTCACGGCTTGCTGCAGGAAGGGCGAGAGTGTCCTTCTGCGGCTCGGCGACGTCAACGATACGCGGATCGATAGGAGCTGGTGCCATTGTGCAATTGATATTTAGCCTTTTCTTCTTCACAATTCTATGTTACACGATAGCTTTGGACCGAAATGAACACAATTGTTTTATTATATTCGTTCTATGGGCACTGGATTGATAATCCTGATTAGGTTCACCCACGGCGACGCGGATCACATCATCGCCAATAACCATTGCGCCTTCTACATCCCATTCGTCGCATATTGGAAGGATTCCACACATATACTTAGTACCCACAGATGATAACCCCTCATCTCTCCGCAACTCTCTTGCTTCTAGAGTTGCTTATCTGTACCCACTCCGGAGCTTGAACTCATTCAACCGCAGCCCCTCCGATATCACCATACAGGGATGTGATGGCGACTCAAATCGCCTGATTTCTAATCGGTCAGCACTACGGGTTTTGATCCAATATTGGTCCACTATATTCAGTCAACACTTTAGACGGCACGCCTTTCCGATATCTCGCTGGAATAACATGGTCGTTGTGGTGGCGCGTTGCATACTGCCGCGGCTTGTGCCATGACACCACTCTAGCCTCGCATAACGCGAGCTGTGACGGCACTAGTGGCCTCACTACCGTCATAATCATAAAGGTCCGCATTCACACATGGTCATTGCTTCAAAGTCCAAGCAAATACACCACTGTAATATTATGACTCGCACACAAATCCGGAAGGTAGCGGTCATTGGTGCCGGGATTAGTGGTGTTGTTTCCGCGGGACACCTGCTCGCGGCCGGATTTGATGTCACAGTCTTCGAGAGAAATAAATTTGCAGGAGGAGTCTGGTAGGTGCCGTGTGGTCTCCTCATTATGACCCCGAAACTAATGGAAGACAGGCTGTACGATGAACGACAGCCGGTAGAGCCGCAGTATCCCGCCACGAAGCCGTCGGAAACAGATCAGCCGGCGAAAGATCGACACCAGAAGGAGACATTCGTTCTCGAACATGCACCGCCTGGGTAAGCCCTTTTATTATAGCGTCTCCTAGTTACCGCTGACTGGGTAGCCCTTGTTATGAGGGTTTGAGGAATAACGTCCCCACGCCTTTGATACGCGTGAAGCTCAATGCATGGCCGGAAGGGACTCCAGACTTCGTCAGCCACGATGTAATCAAAGACTATATTCAGGATACATCGCGCAAAGCGAAAGTAGATGACGTCACAATTTATGGAGCGCGAGTAAAAGATCTTCGCAAACGTGGTGATAAATGGGAGGTTGTCTGGTCGACAGTTCACGAGAACGACCAGTCAGACACCGTGGTTGAATTGGAAGAAATCTCGGTAAACAACATCATTGCATAGAGGACTTTACGGTTTTTGAATTAACGGGAAATCGCGCAGATATTTGATGCGATCATTGTCGCATCTGGACACTACCATGCGCCGCGTATTCCAGATATACCTGGCTTGTCGGAAGCGAAGAGCCATTGGGATTCTCGAATTATGCATTCGAAGGGATATCGAAAGGCAGAAGGCTTCGAGAACAAGGTATGATCGCTCCATGATATGAATAGACAGAGGCTGACCAATACTAGAATGTCCTTCTCGTTGGCGGTGGAGTATCATCCACAGATATTGCGAAGGAAATTGGCCCCGTCGCCAAAACTGTCTATCAAAGCACAAGGAACGGCGACTTTGATCTTCCAGAAGCCATGCTCCCTGATAACGGGGTGAGGATCGGTGAAATATCCCACTTTGACATCGAGAGCGACAAGGACACAATTTCCGATGACGAGCCATTGCCCTTAACCATACATCTGAAATCGGGGCAGAAACTATGCGGAATCGATAGGGTTATCATCTGCACTGGTTATCACATCACACTTCCTTTCCTGCGAGATTACCACAGTGACGACACGCCTGCTGAGCTTGCCGATGAGAGGATTCTGGTCACTGATGGGACTCAAGTACATAACCTGCATAAAGACATATTCTACATTCCCGATCCCACGCTGGCCTTCATCGGGGTTCCCTACTACACCGCCACATTTACCCTGTTCGAATTCCAGGCGATCGTGGCAACGCAGGTCTTTGCTGGAATTGCCAAGATACCCTCTGAGGATATTATGAGATTAGAGTACTTGGCCAAAATCAAGGAGGTTGGGAGTGGGAAGAAGTTTCACTCGTTGAAAGATAAGGAAGAATTTTACGTGAGGGATCTATTGCAATGGGTGAATGATGACAGGGCTACCTACGGGCTTGGCCCCCTGGAAGGACACTCCCCCCAGTGGCTTGAAGCCAAGGAAGTGCATCGAAAATGGATTCAAGATCGTTGGCAAGAGACAGGTCGGAGGGACAGTGGTGTCGGCGAGCTTCCGGTGTTGGCAGTATGTAGTTAAATTGGGCCATGCTGGAACCTGCCCTATTATCAGACACTATCTCGAACCAGGAATAATATCCTGTCCAGTTGACAAACCGTCGCTTACTGAAGTTTTAAAAGTATTGGCCAAGCTCGCCAAACGTTAAGTTTAGTAGAATCCCGCCATTAAAAATGCTCGGCACATCATCCATACTGGCGATGACGAGCTCCGCGACAACAACGAATCTTTAGCCCCAGTCACGCCACAGCTTCCCTATAGAAACTGTCAGACAGACTGCCTACATACGGTCTTTATTGGCTAGAACTTCCCATCATGACTCGAAAAAACGAATGTAAATTTTCCCCGCACCAAGCTGTATCACAGCTACAGATGGCCGTTCCAACTGCCGATGCAGGAATTGCGCCAACACCACTATTATGAGCAATTGATACTCTTATCCAGTGGCTAGGATCCTTGACACTAGCTGTGTGGAGCCAGGTCGATCTACTCAGACGTACATGGACGGATATAATTTATATTTAACCCCGATCGCATTCCCGTTCCTCATAGCACGGTCAGCTGCTGGAGCCACAGGGAGATTTCCAGTGCCTTTGAGACAGACAACATGGCTCCATCGCAAGCCATAGCAGAGGAACGAGCCGTCGATTCAACAAGCGACATCGTACAGAAAGCCCCGAAGCGCAAATGGGTCAGCTATATCTGGGATACATTCGACAAGTCGCCCGAGGAGCGGAAATTGATGTTCAAATTGGATTCGGCGATTTTGACATTTGCCTCTCTTGGTGCATTTGCTTTTCCTTTCTGTCTGGCTTTATGACTGGGTGGGGACTAACGAGGTGGATAGGATACTTTATCAAATACCTGGATCAGATCAATATTAACAATGCCTTTGTGTCTGGGATGTGAGTGATTCACAAGCAAGCCGTGGGACGGTCTGTTGACACATCATCAGGAAAGAAGATCTCGGCATGTACGGCAACGAGCTCAATTACATGCAGGCTTGCTGGACGGTGGGATATGTTATTGGGGAGATTCCGAGTAATATCCTTCTTACGAGGATTAGACCCCGATATTGGCTTCCGGCTATGGAGGTATGTTTGTCGTCTACGACCGAGTGTTGACTGTTAATAATGGAGACAGTTGCTCTGGACCGTGTTGACCTTCGCTTCGTCACGATGTAATTCTGCGACCCAATTTTATGTTCTGAGGTTTTTTATCGGTATGGAGAATGCACTATCTATCGTATATGTAGAAACTAACCAGCAAAGGCCTCGCGGAAAGTACCTTCTACCCCGGCATGCAGTATCTCATCGGCTCGTGGTACCGGAAAGACGAACTAGCGAAGCGATCGTGTATCTTCCATACGAGTAGTGGGATTGCGAGTATGTTTTCGGGGTATTTAATGGCTGCGGTGTATAACCTCGAGGGACGAGGCGGGTTTAGAGGATGGCAATGGTATGGCAATCATCCATGTTGAAAGGTATTATGGCAACGGCTAAGCGATGACAGGCTGTTTATTGTGGATGGTATTATCTCGCTTCCGGTTGCACTGAGCGGCTTTGTTCTTCTGCCCGATGTGCCTGAGATCTCGAATCCGTGGTACTTGACCAAGGAGGTGAGATTCATTACGCACTCGCGGCGTATATTTGCTAATGTCGAGCGTAGGAAGTGGCACTATCACAGAAGCGAATGCAGCTCGAAGGACGCAAGAATAGGGAGCCGTATACTAAAAGCAAGCTGAAGAAGATCTTCACATCGTGGCATATTTATCTTCTCACTGTCCTGTATATGTGAGTTCGACTGGCATGAAGCTGCTATAGTTCCGATGGACTAACAGAGCAGAACATTCAACAACGGCGCCGCCGGATCTCAACCCGTCTTCCAACAGTGAGTCTACTATACACACCGAGTTCGTTACGTGGCATATACCTAACAGAACAAGATGGCTCAAACATTCGACGGACCCCAAATACTCCGTCGGCCAGATCAACGCTTACCCAACGACCACAGCCGCAGTCCAGGTAGTGACTACGCTTGCCTACGCCTGTACGTACTTCTCGCCCTATTACCATCGATACGAGAGTCTAATACGCACAGGGTCCTCCGACACATTCCTAAACGGAAGACGCTGGCCGCCGATCATTTTCGGCGCGGTAAGCCAGCCTCACTTCCACCCCGAAAGTAGCCCAAACTAACCCACCCAGATTGTAAATATAATCTCCTACGTCTCCCTCGCCGTCTGGGACATCCCTAACGGCTGGAAATGGACCTGTTACATCATCGCCGGTGCAGGATACGGCTTAAGTGGACTTTGCATGGCGTACGTCTCTCATTCTTCCCATTTCTATAAACAACCCCCCCAAAACATTGTCCACGCATAGACTCACCAAGTATAACAGCTGGGCCCACGAAATCTGCTCCGACGACAACGAAGAACGGTCTCTGGTAATCGGCAGCATGAACGAAATGGCCTACGTGTTCCAGGCGTGGCTACCCCAGGTCGTGTGGCAGCAGGTGGATGCGCCGCAGTATCGGAAGGGCTTTATCACTGTTTCTATTCTGTCGGTTATATTGATCGGGACGGCGTTGTTGATTAGGGTGCTGCATCTGAAAGAGACGAGGGTTAAGTGAGTTTTCTTCCTTCCTTCCTTCCTTCCTTCCTTCCTTCTTTCTTTCTCGGTTTACTGTTGTGGGTGCTAATTTCTTTGGTGCTCTAGGGCTAAGACGCCGCGGGCGGAGAGTGAGGAGAGTAGTATTGCGGGGACGGAGAATGGGGGACATGTTCAGGAGGCCGTGGGGAAGATCTGATAATCTAGAGGTCCGGGTTTTGAACTTAGGGCAGAAGTTTAGCTGGTGTTCAAGAAGAAAGAAATGTTCTTATTGCAGGTAAATGAGGCCTTATGCGAGAAGGTAATGAATGTCTAATGTCGACTATGCCATGTAAATATTAATCAGCCTATGACTGGCCTATGGCTGGCGTCCAGATTTCGTAACGTTGGAAATGCTCAAAATCCATTAAGTCACTAGTCGACTACTATCCAGGCATAGCTATCTATTAGATCCCAGAGAAACCTACAAAACCATATTCCACTTCACCCTCTTCTCCTTCATCATCGCCAAAACCCCAACAGGCAAAAACCGCTTCTCCACCAGAGTCATCCCACCAAACCGTTTCAAGACATCGTCCGAATAAAGCTGCAAGATCCACCTTACTTCAGGACCCTGGGCGGACAGTTGCAACTGCCCAGACACCGCATCAAGGGCATCACGGCAATCCCGCGTTACCTGGATGACCTTTGTATGCGGAACCACCATCAGATCCTCATATAAGAGCCGGAGGCTGTTGCTACGCGATTCCCGATATCGGGTATACTCCTCGAAGGACATGAAGGAGTGTATCTCCGCTCCGGTGACAACTAAGGGTTCCCCTGAGTTGGGCCGGGGATTGACGGTTTCGGCGCGCCGGCGGCGTGTTTTCTCGGACGTCTCGGAGAAGGTTTTCTTCGCGAAGGCGTAGCTGTCGCGTTCTTCTTTCTTGAAGCGTTCGATGCGCTCGATCGGGGATAGGTCCAGTGAGTCCCGCATCAGAAGGACCGAGATGAACGGGTTGCGCAGGCCTAGGCCGCCCAACTCAGCGGGGAGGAAGAAGAACGCGTCTGGAATGTCGGAGACCCCGAATTGCGACTCGATTTTCCTTCGCAGATGTTCTGTTACCGTGCTAGCAATCTGGCCACTCCCGCCATTGAACAACGTATTTTGCATCTTCTCGTATGTAGAGAGAATGGCATCGATGTGTGCGCGCCCAAAGCAGTGCGCGGGCTGCCCGAACGTGTTCTTGAAGAAGCGTCCGATGCAACTGTTCCATGTCCGCACCCAGGAGATAACACTGTCGCATCTGCTGAGTTGTTTCTGAAGCTGGGAAACGTGTGCATTGACCTGTGCTTGATCGATCTCCCAGGTCTCGGATTTTGCGTTGAGTGTTAGGAATCCGAATGTGACCGGGCCTGTGGGGAGGCGTGCGGTGATCTCGGGATCCAGGTTGTCTGCCAGGTACACTGAGCCTGTTTTGCTCTGGTTGAATTCCAGTCCGGTTACTTTCGCATACGCTTGCATGACCTCCCATGCCCTGGCACATTTGTCTGGCTTGCCGCAAACCCATAGGTCGTCGTGGATGCGGTAAAGGAGCAGGCCTGTCTCCCGATTAACAGCCAGATCCATAGGGAAGAGCACCAACTCTCCAGTCAACTTCTCCATCGCGTGGGAAATTGGAACGCCTCGCCTGCGAATACGAGGTCCAGTCTGCATCCGTCTCTCAGCGGAATGATCCAAGTTCAATGGAGCTGCGAGGTACTTCTGAAAGAATGCGAGCCATTCAACGGGAAAGCCGAAGAACCTCATAACGGCGAGAATGGTGCTGTGCGGCAGCGCAGTAGCGTACCATTTCATGTCCGACTGTACCACCGCTGCCTGACCATATATCTGACGCTCAAGCAGGACCTGGGATGCAACCTTTCGCAAGAGCAGCTGTTTCATGTTCGACGGCCCATCGATGCCTCTGTCTGCGCCGGCTTCATTATTCTCATCATCGTACAGCATACCCCGTTCCGATAACGATGTCTCGGTCAGAGGCATGTGAAACAGGAAATCGGACTCCAGGTAGTCATTCTTACGGCTCGTTTCGATATTGCTTGCTCTATCATAGTCACTTAGGTAGAATTGTCGGCGCAGGCGGTCCCGCTCCGTCATTCGTGGGCTTGGATGCCAATTCCAGACCGATTTCTTCTCAATGAACTCTTTCAGTATGGTTTTGATAATTGAGCACAGACGGACAGCAATGTACTGGGCAAAAATGGTCTGGAGAACGTCGTCATCGATCCAGATGCGATATTTCCCGTTCAGTTGTTGGCGAGGCAAAACCGGGATCCCGTCTTCGGCATGCCAGTCCCAGTTCTTCAGGTCTGCGTATCGCATGTTCAGAACGTCCGCGATTTCAGTCAATGCAACGCTATTCTCCAAGCAGTATTTCAAGATCCCCTGTTTTTCCTCGCTGAGAAGATCCTCGGTCAGGAGTCCATGGATACAGGATCGGATGGAATATATGTTAAATGGATCTGTTTTATGCCAGAGCTCAGAACATTCTCGGCCAACTCTCTCCCTGAGCTTATCCAGAGCAATCCTGCTGTCCTCATCGGGGAAAAGATTATCGAGAAGCGCATGAATCTCATCCTCATCGGTTTCCAACGGCTCAAACACCACCCTTTCAAACTGATCACACAATTGCTGCAATCGCTGCTTCTGTCGCTCCTCAACTACCAAGTAATCCTCCTCTTCTTCGGGGATCTGGTTTGATCCAGAAGAAGAAGAAGGGGGATCCATCCACTCCGTAAGCAGCCGAGAATACAGATCCGCAATGTTCAATCTCATACTATGAGCATCCAGCGTGGCGACCAGATGCTCCTGGAACGAGTCCAGCTTCGCCTCCGGGATGGAAGAATCATAGCGCGCCTGGTCGAGCCAGCGCTCAATGTTGGCTGTTTTGGAATCCTTTGCGTTGTCGTCATCAGAGCGGAGTTCTTTTAGCCCCTGTAGAATACATGCTACCCTGTCTCGCGGGTCTGTTTGTTGAGCTGCCGCTGCGAGGACTCGGGACTTGGAGGACTCGTATGCTATGCGTTGCTTTTCTAGTTCGCGGATCTTGCTTTGGGTTAGGGATTGGAGGGTTTTGGAGAAGGTTGTGGTTGTTGTGGCCATTATGGGAGAATGAAATCGAGAAATGGAATGAATGATATATAATTGAAAGAGATGGGAATGGGTAATAATTGCTAATCTTGAATCAGTGGTTGTTGAAAGAAGTCCGTGTCATCGTCGTTTTTATACATCGTGGGCGGGCTTAGGCAGAGGTGGCTGCCTGAAAGGATCGGCATGCTCCCTCGCATAAACCACGCTCGGAATCTTAGGTCGCTCCCGCATATTCAGTTCGTACTGCAGGATTAGCCTGGTCATTTTATTTCTGGTGGTCGGACATGTATGGGTTGACAATATAGGATCAGGACTAAGGCAGAATTATGCAGGTTACTCAATTTGCCTATTTTCTCATTTACACACATAACCTCAAACTGCTTGTTTAGTGCTGCTTTTTACACAGGGTTCCAAATTGCAGTGCTCCATTGTATATCTAACACTCTGGGTCGTGCACAATGGTGCATTCCGAAATTTTCATATCCTCGTTGGACTTCCCGCTTAGTTTCGAGATAGTTGGTTTCGTATCTCTTGGTCATAAGACGGTCCAGTCTCGTTAATTAATGCAAGAGAGACGTCAACATGAACTTGCCGGAACCATTTCCCGATCCAAGAAGCATTAAGAACAACAGATACACGTGCGAAAAACGTGGGTGAGAGAAGCAGGACGCTTCAACAAGCAGTTTCGACTTGTCGTCCATCCCGTCCAGAAATAATCTCAGCCAAGTGTCGACCAAAAGTCGTAATACACCTTGAGCAGCTCAGGAACAGGTCTGAGTTCGGTTACGTCCGGATGATCGGCTATTGCTTGACGGAGGTTCTCTGTGCCATAAGCAGCCATATACTCCCAATCGTCCCACCATATCTGGTGCGCGGGTAGTCTCTCTGCTAGGATATAACTGGTTACTTCGGTTTGTGAATCTGGCTCCTTAGTGAATCTTTTAAAGAATTGGACAGTGGGAATGGAAATGAGAGGAGTAGGGGAATAGTTGCTTAAGATCTTGTAGACCTCGCTCAGAGTTATGACCTTGTCTTGGTCTGGCTGGGTTACATTGAAAGCATGGCCAAGGCTAGTGCTATTTAATGAGATCCGGGATATTGCAGAACAAGCAAAGTCTACCGGAACAAAATGGAACCGCTGCTGTGGGGGATTGGGATAACAACCAAGCCGAATACAGTTGGCCATGAATCTGTTGACCATATCCTCCTTCTTACACGCGCCTGTGCGACTGTCACCAGTAACAACGGTTGGCCGATATATTGCTATAGGGAACCCATTCTCAATAGCATCCCAGGCAATACTTTCAGCGACAAACTTGCTTTGCGTATAGCCAATACTTTGTGTCACATTATGGGCCTCCACACGTGGTCGGACGTCCTCAGGGACAGGGCCGGTGAGGTTTTCGGTGATACCACACGCGGAGATACTTGAGCAATAATGTACAGGCTTCAATCGCTCGGTATTGGCAAATCGGAGAATTTCAAGGAGGCCAAGGACATTCGGACCCCTGTGAACTGAGTACGGCAGGGTGTAATTGGCATACCCCGTAAAATGAAAGATCACACTCGACCACTGCGCCAAGTGACTGAAGGTTTCTGGCCGTAGACCGAGGTTCTTCTTGGTCACGTCGCCAGGAATTGCGATAATCTTGGATTTAAAATCAACGGGAAGACCATATTTGGAAAACGTTTGCCTGATCCTTGTATGGCCCAAGTCTGACGTACTTGCCCGAACCAAGCATGCAATCTGCTTGACCTGGGGTAAGGAGATAAGTTCCGACAGGAGGAAGGCCCCAAGGAATCCAGTTGCGCCAGTGAAGAAAACATTCCCCTCAGACTCTGATGTCCAATATGGGCTGGCATTGGAGATGGGTCGCATTGTTTTACCAAGTGTCAAGTCATCGTGGTAACCAGGCTCCTCGGCTCCGTCGGGGTCACCACCTTGTCCTTCGCTGCCTTTGTGACCCTTGTGCGTGTGCTTATCACGGAGCTTCTGGACGGCGATCTTACCGAGCCCACCGACGGTACCTGAGTTTGAGACCTCTACTAGCGTAATATCAATTCCAGCA